AAAAAAAAATGATAGGACTATCCTGCTACAATGCTGTATATGCTTAGATTTCTGAATTTCTATGTAAAAATATAAAATTGCTTATTATTTTTCTTAATTTTTAAATTTTTTGCTTTTTTCTCACACTCAGTAGGGATTGAATGTTTAACATGTCAATACTTGGTGGAAAATACTTGTTCCATATTAGGCCTAAGATGTTTGATATTCAGACAGATAGGTTAAGTTCCACTACCTATGTTATAGTGTAATAATATCATTAAGCTTCTCTTCTGGAGGGTTAACAACTTATATTTGCAGACCAAAACTCAGTAAAAAGAAGGGCTGCAAGGACAGCCAACATTTTGGCCCAAGCCATTTAAGGTCAATGAAGACTCAGGACGTAGGAGAACCTGTACTGTAACATCATGTAACTCAGTTGTGTCCCAAATTTTCTGATCAAGGAGGTTATGGGGCCACAGAGGAAAGTGATCAACAATGTAGAGTGTGCCTAAGGAGAGTCATCTAGAAAGAAAACATTTTCTCAGGCTTTCACAGAGAGCAAATTGGTCAAGCAATGGCCGTGACTCATCCACATGGCTGACAGTGACACAATCTACATATTGCGGTACAGGCTTTCAGGATAAATCTTGAGGGTATTTGAATGACCTTGTCAGATACAGAAGTTACACTTTTGGTTATATAGGTCTTGCTTTATCTTGGTCTTTATCATCCGGCAGAAAAGTATAAACACAAGGTATAAACAGTAAAGCCATATTAATATGCTGAGCTGTAAAAGGCTCAAGTGAACAACTTATGACATTGCTAGTCCTATGCATAACCTACTGTTATGGACTACTGGACTGTATTGGATTATTTTGCTAAATTCACACACCTACAATATTTAAATGGCAATGGAATGCCCATCTTTGCCAAAGCTAACCAAAAAAAGGGGATATAAATGAAGGACCATTTTGTATCTACAAAATAGATTACATATATAGCTACTTTCTCTTAACTGAATGAGAAGGAAGATTTGTACTAATAGTGTTTGGACAGGATATCATATCTGCATCTTGTACTATGAAGACTATACAATGTATTACTACAACTGTCCTAACCTGTTTTGTAACTGTTTCACTGCTATTTGTTTCTCAATAAAATTAATTAAAAAAAAAAAGAATCACTACGAGTCCAATCTAGCAGGGAGACCCTGAACACCTTGTAGACCCTTTTCTAAAGATACAGAAAAAGAAAAAAAGTGTATACTGGCACATGTATATACAAAACAATTTAAGATAGTCTTTCCTTTTTATAGCTTTTATCTATTGAGAATAGTAATTGTTTTCATATCTTATCTGTGTACCCACTGTTAGTTACCAGACAATGATTTCCTGTGGATTTAA